CCCAGGATCCGGTTACCCCCACACTCACTTCATCCCTCAAGGAAGGCTCTTCCCTCCGTCCTCAGGCTTGGCATCTGCACTCGGCCCTGGGCACATCCAGCCAGCGAGCGATAGGGGTCAGGTGGCCTCCTCAGATGTGGGGACACATGCTTGCTACAGGACTTGGGGCCCACGCGTGGCCCAGCTGCAGTCTGGCTTTGTCACCTCCTACCAGGGTCCAGTGCGTCTTTTTACAACCCAGCAGCCTCTCCGGGGCGTGGGGGGGGGGGCTGGGGGGCGGAGAGCGGAGGGGGCGGTTCTCACCTTCTTTCCTGCCCAACCCGCCAACCCTTAGCTCACTTCCTCTTTTCCGCCTGCATATCTGCTCTGAGATGGCAAGGGCCAGCCGTGCTCCTGCTCTGCCTGGGGGCATCAAGTCCCGCTTTGTGCCGGGCTCTGCACGTGCAGCCCCTCGTTCCTTCTCCAGGCCGAGCCTGGTGAGGTGGGCATCCTTATTCCTTCTTCCTCCAGCTGGGGCCTGGAGGGGTCCCTTCACTTGCCTCGTGGTGGTGCTGATGGGGTGCACTGGTGCCCGGAGCCAGCCCCTTCCTCACCACGCCCCCCGTCCCTGGTTCTGGGGGGAACAAGAGCACAGAAGCCTTCCAGAGCTCTGCACCATGGTCGCTCCCCCTCAAGTCCCAACGCTTTTGGCTTACGCTGTCGCCGCCTCACCCAGGCAGCCACGCACTTGTCCAACAGCTGGACAAGGTCAGGACACATTCTGTACCCGTGGAACAGCTTCCCCCCAACCCCTGCCCCCACTCCCATTCCACCGGTCTGCACGCCCTCCATGGCTCTGAGCACCCGCGTGCCGGCCCCCGCTCCACCAACACCCAGTCCCCTGTGCCCAGGGACCCCGCCTGGTTGGCACACTTCCTCCCCTCCGGTGTGTGTGCCTCCGGCTATATCAGTGCGAGACGCATGTCCCCTTCGGCAGTGTGGGCTTGCTCCCGGTGGGAATCCTCCCGGGCCCCGTGCCCAACGTGGCACATGCGCTGCGAACACTGCTCAGGCCCCGGCTCTGCTCGGATCTTTAAATGCCGTGGCTGGCTGTGTCTGGCCTCCTGGGCCAGTCCCCTGTCTACCGGCTCTTCCTTCTTCCTCCCGCCCTCCTCTTCATCACACCGGCACCCTTGGCAGGGGCCAGGTAGGCCCCGTCCCTGCCTCCTCCACCACGTGGCCAGCACTGCCCATGGGCCAAGCTGCGCACACCATCACCGTCACGGCTGCAGCTGTCCCGAGGGGAAGAGCCTGACGCCTGAGGTCACGGGGTTCACGGTTCGGCCAGGGCAGATTCAAGAGTGCCCCGCGTCCCCCGTGCTTCCTGAGAAGTCTTGGTGTGAGGGAGGCAGGAATCTCAGGGGGCGGTGGGGAGCCCCACAAGGCCAGCACCCCCGGGATGGAGGTGGCTGAGTCCAGGGGTGGCCGAGGGGTGCAGCCGCTGCCCTGGGGGGTGCCACTGGCTCAGCCTGGCAGGCCAGTGGGGTGATGCCACCACCTGCTGGGTGTTTATTCAGGCGGCTGGCCGGCTTTGCCCTTCCCGTGAGGGGAAGAAACGATAGTGCTCCTCTGGGTTCTCCAGGCCAGACTGTATCAGACCCTCCTCTGTGGAAACCCCAAGTAACGGCTCCTCACTCAAATCAGAAAGGGTATTGGGGATTTATAAATCAGGGAGAAGAAGGGCCCTCCAGGGACCTCGAAACCCCAAGATCTCGGGAGCTGGGGCTGAGTCCGTGGGGCTGCCGTCGGCCTCGCAGCGGGTGCACAGGCCAGTGCTGACTCTAGCAAGGTGTTCAGGATCTTGTTTCGTAGTAAGGCTCTGCAGGCCCAGCCACTGGGCTCACCCAGAGGGGAGTCCTAGGGCCACATGGCGGCCCCCACCTTAGAGACTGTGTCATTGACCTTGGTGACGCCTCAGGAGCGACAACTGTCACCCGCCCTGACTTTGATCTTCGTTGGTTGGTGCTTTCTTGGTTATTGCTTTCATCCCCTCATGGAGGGTGGTCTTTATCAGAGCGGGATCCTCCTCGGTGTGGCTTACACTTGACCCCTTAGGGCCCAACGCTGAGCACACGAATGCGTTAATGAAGAAGTAACACAGGGAACCCCTGAGCCTGCTGGGCTGTGTTGGATGTCTCAGGACGTTGAGTGTTAACGGGGGAGATGCCTGGACCCTGCTTTCAGTAGGGGCTTGGGGATGTACAGAAATGCGTGAATCCTGGGGCACCTGGCTGGCTCCACCTGGCTGGAGCGGGCGACTCTTGATCTCAGGGTTGAGAGTTAGAGCCCCACGTTGGGTGTAGAGATGGCTTAAAAATAAAATCTTTAGAAACTAAAAAGAAGTGTGTGAATCCCACGAAGGCACCTGGCACCTTTCCTGTTGGCCCCCGAAAAATCTGGCTCCTGTAAGTCATCGTCTTCCAAGCATTTGGACCCCTCTCTTCCAGCAGGTGTACCCCAAGCTTCCTACCTTTAAGGTAGCGCTTCTCAAACTTGAATGTGTCTGCAGATTGCCTGGGGGTCTTGTTAAAATGCAGATTCTGATTCAGCAGGTCTTGTGGGGGCAGACTGCATTCCTAACAGTTCCTGAGGGTGCCCCCCCATCTGTCACCACACTTTGCATAACAAGGACTTACAGGAGTCCACCCTATCCAGATTTCTCTGCATATGCACGTGCGTATTCTCTCAGAGACCCTGAGACCACACTGCAATATTCACGGGCCCCTCTGATGGGCGCTCCCCGCTGCTCCAGAGCTGGCTGAGGACCAGGACCCTCCCCCAAGGGTCTTAGTGGTCCCACGAGTGAACCTCAGAGATAAGGGCCAGGAGTCTGGGTGCTGGGCTCAGCTCTGCCACTTTTGTTTTTATCATCTGGGCAAATCACATCATTCCTCTGGGCCTCGGTTTCCCCATCTGAGACATGCTTGAGTTCTGGGACCCTCCAGGGGCCTAGAAACCCCAACTGTAACATCCTATGAAAGATAACAACCCCTTTGTGTGTCACATGCACTTCCACATGTATTAATTTATTTACTCCTAGGAATTCATCGGGAAGTCCTAGTATTACCCCATTTTACCCCTGGGGGAACTGAAGCACAGAGACTTTGATTAGCCCGAGATCAAGGAAGTAGCAATAACACTGACGCGTGAGCCAGCCTGTTTCGTCCAGAATCCGTGCTCTTAACCCTTGCACTTGACTGCCCCTGGTAACACCTGTCAGGAGTGACTGCTCACCGAGTAAGACTGCTCTTTCTGGCTATTCCGGAAAGAAGACTTCTTTTTGGGGGGCTTTATCTCTCACAGTTAACTCTGTGCAATTTAGAGAGGCCAGCTAGGCCTGAGCCCCATAGAACACAGCAAGCCCTTCCAGGGCTCAAAATCGGCCATGAAAGGAAATGCCAGAAGAACCGTACGGCCAGTGGCTCTGGGGTCTGGTTAGTTTTAACAAGCACCTGGTGGATTCTTCGGGACAGCCCCTCTAGGAGCTACTGGAGCCGCAGTCTGGGGGTTACTGTCTGCCTGGGTGCTTAGACACCCCTGTCTGAGCCACGGTGGCTTTCCTCTGGGACTTAGCATTATCTTGCCAGGTAGCAGGGGTCTGAGTGTTTACACTCCCCATATCTGTCTGTTAAATACGGAAAGCACACGCATCCTCTGTTTTACATGTTTGCTTCCTCTGCCCCCCCTACCCCATAAACAGGGCTCAAGGAGAAAATCCCATCTAAAAACTCAGATGCAGGGCGCCTGGGTGGCTCAGTTGGTCAAGCGTCTGCCCTTGGCTCTGGTCATGATCTCAGGGTCCTGCTCAGTGGGAAGCCTGCTTCTCCCTCTCCGTCTGCCCTCCCCTGCTCACGTCCTTTCTCTCTCGAATAAATAAATGATCTTTTAAAAAAATAAATCAATAAAAAATACAACAAAAACTCAGACGCTTATGGAAACCTTAGAATGCTGGCCAGAGTTGGACAATGTTGGATCTCAGTGCAGTAAACTTCTCTCAAAGTAACCTGAGGTGAAAAGGCACCTCTGAGCCTGCCCATAACTGTCCCCGGTTCAGATCCCGTGCAGCGTCAACTCCTCTAGGACGCTGCCTCTCCCCTGTCCCCTCCCTCCTCTGAAATCCGTAAGTTCACACTTGCCACTTGCAGAATCCAGTGTGCTTGGTCATCTTCCTCCTGCTATGTGGGCCTTTTTTCCCAGTTATAGCTGGCATCTCCCCAGCACCCCAGGGCAAGAACCCCAGGGGTATCATGAGCCTTTTTGGTACCACACTGTACCTTAGACACACAGGAGGTGCTCACCAGTGTTGGTTGACTGAAATATACCTTTGGTCCCTTCCAGTATGAACCAGATCTGGAACACAGGTACTTTGCCAAGCGGGGGTCATTTCGGGAAGCTTTTTATGAGTAAATAGGAAAGTGTGAAACCCGCCCATGGGTTTTCTATGTAAACGATGCTTTTAATGTGCTGGGGGAATAGTTTGTGTTCACTAGAAAAGCAGACTAAGTAGATGTCTTTGGCCACCTCTTCTAAAATTGCTTTAAAAAAACCCTTCTTTCATTAATCAAGCTCCTGGTTCACAGCATGGGGTCCAAGTGAGTGGAATTTTTTGTCATATTCATCATCACTGGATAAGGGTGCATGCACTGTGTACCAATGAGAGAGAAGAAGCCGGGTGTCCTGGTGACCCAGAGACACAGCAGTGTCAGGTTTAGGAAAGCCATGGGGTTTGGGGTTATCTCCAGCAGCGGGGCATGCTGGAGCCACGCTGTCCTGGAAGGACTGCCCGGGGCCTGGCCCTCAGCATAGGGCTGGGTGCTCTCTAGGACCCCAGTCACTCCTTGGCCGATTTTTGGCCCGTTTCTATGCGTCTAGCTCTGAGCCCAAGAGAGGGACCAGCTGCCTCCTGCTCAGCGTCAGAGCACTTTCGTGGATCTTCGTGTGACACTTTTTTCTCTTCTCAGGAAGTTTCTAAAAACCTCACCAAGGAAAACGAGCAAATCAAAGAAGACGTGGAAGAAATTCGAACGGAGATGAGCAAGCGAGGGAGAGAGAACTGCTCCGGCAGCATCCTGGACGGCATGCCCGACGTGCGCTCGGCTCTGCAGAGGGACGCGGCCGCAGCCTACGCCCACCCAGAGGTACGGCCCTGGCTCCGAGGCAGCCGGGGGGTGGGGCGGGGGTTGGGCACAGTCCTGGGAAGCACGCGGCCATGGTCTCATTTCTTCTAGATGGCCCTTCTGCAGATGTGTTGGGGCAGGGGACTGAGTCTGTGGTACCTAATGGTGAAGCCCAGAGGGGCTCAGCGAGGAGGTGGTGAGGCCAGGACCCCGGAGTCCCAGGCCCCACCTCGCCTCTGTGAGCGCCCCTGAGTGATGAGTAAGGAGCAGTGTGCATGCTGCCTTGTCTGGGACCCCCGTGGTTCCCTCCTGCCGTCCTGGCATCATTATTGGCAGAACCTTCTTTCAGTCTCAAAAGCGCCCCAGTTTAGAAACCGTAAGTTGGGGGGCCTTCCTGTTGATACAGGACTTGTGGTGCGTTCGGCCTTCCGTCACTATCCCGGGTGGTTTTCCTCACGGCTCCGGCAGGCAGGCAGGCAGGGCGGAGATCAGGATCCACACTTTCCAGATGGGACACATCCAGGAACGCTCGTGGGACGCCTTACTCAGCAGGAAGCGGTGGCAGGGGGTCTCAAACCTCTGTTTCCTCCCACCTGGTGGCGTCCCGGCACGAGGTCCCCCATGCGAGAAATGGGACGCTGTCTGACGGTGTCTGGAGCGATCCCACCGGACCTGCTTGTCCAAAATGCCCCCGCCCGAAGCCGGCTTCTTCTCGCCCCGGTTACTAAGTTAGCTGATGTGTATTACTGTGGCTCCGCGTACGGCCATTTAATGTGGTGGTTGTGTCCTAAGCTGATGCCCAAGAAATAGTATCCATGTGGGAGCTAACCCCGAAGAGTGGAAGAGGAAACAGGTAAATTTGGTGGCAGGACTTGAAGAATGTGAGATGTAGTGAGTCTCACTGGATCTGGATCAAGTGTCATAAAAGGGTCCTTGGCAACCAGGGGACAACAGCAGTTAAGAGAAGCCTTGCTTGCTTTAACCGGGCCGAGGGTCGGTGGTGGTCGGCAGAGCCTAGATTCCAGATGGACCAGCCTGGGGCAGCAGGCGGGGTGCGGGGGAGCAGGCTCTGGGACAGTCAGAGCTGCTGAGCTGTTGCCGGGCAACGGGGCACGGAGAAGGGCTAAGCATTGCTACACAGGACTTTTTTGCCTGGGTCAGTAGGAACTGGGGCAAGAGAGGAAGTCAGCCTGCGCTTGGAACTCATGGAAACTCATCAACGTGGTGCCAAGCGGGCCGCAGCTGTGGGTTAGGCACATGTGTTCCCAAAGTAGGACGGCCGGCAGATGAGGACTTTGGGGGCAAGAAGCCCCAAAGACACTATGGGGCTTGCACCCTGCCCAATGTGTAACTCAAAATAAAACCAGTTCCAAACCAGAAAATAAGGATAAGGAAGGCCAATAATTTTCTGGCTTTGCCCACGATGACTACTTTGATGCTTTTTTGGATGTTATATTTCTTCAACGATTATTTTTATTCTCATTTTTAGTTGTCTCCCAACAGGCTAGCTACTAAGCTTGTGTTTAGTCTGCTTGGTGGGTCATCCTTGAACAGATCCGAGTTTATAAACCAAAAAGCCGAGGACATTCGGGCTGGAAGGGACCTTGGAGGCACCCTCTCCCCCCACCTGGGGCCCAGCGGCTCCTATCTCAGCCCATCTGGTATGTCCTGCTGGCCCAGTGCCCAGCGGAGTCCGGCATTCCCTGTCCTCTCTGGCTTCCAGCTTCCCGGTCGGCTGAGCTGGAGAATGCGGCTGTTGTCTTGATGATACATTATGTGGTATGTTCAGCAACCCAGCTCATATTTCCCGAGGGCAAACAGTAAACCAAATCAAACACACCAAACTCCTTTTCTCTTTGCTCAGCAAAGCCCTTTCCCCTCCTGAAATCCCCATTCATCACACTGCTGAAGTTAGCACAATCCACCCAAACCAGGGTGGCGGGGGGTAGAGCCAGGGCCAGGGAGGGGCGGGAAAGGGGAAGCTGGGAAGGAGGCCCAAGGCTAGGATCTTCCTCCCCTTCTTCGTCTTTCTGTGTGTTTGGCAAACCCCCTGCTAGAAAGGAGGCAAGTGGGGGCTAGGTTTGGTGGTTATTTTCAGGGTTCTTAGATGATACTGGGGTTTCTCGGAGTGGTGAGTGGCAATTTGTTGGAGGCTGCTCTCCAAGAAGGTCCTTGCCTGGAGGGTTGGCAAGGGGCTCGGGGGGCTGGGTTGGGAGTGGGGAGGGCAGGGTGGGAGCTGGGACTTAGGGACGCCAGGAGTTGAAGTCATTCAGCAGGCTCTCGGATTAGCAGAGAGGGGAAAGCAAGGCGTGGTGGGGGCAGCTGCCGCCCAGCTCAGTCTGTCGCCAGTGAATCCAAGGAAATTATATGTTCTCTGGCAGAGGCTGCCATGGTCTTGCTCCATCTCCTTGGCTGGGAGAGGGAACTGCAGTTCCTGCCTGTCCCGGAGAGCCTGGAATTAAAGACGGTTCCTGGGGTTTACCATGAAGAAATGACAACCTGCTTTTGCAATGCACGGGGAGACCAGGGTCCAGCAATTAGCCGGCCCACAGCGTCGGAGTCAAGCGCTGGGGCCCTCGTCAGCCTCCCAGCCTCCTTTCCCAGTGGGAAATGAGGGATCCCCCACGTCTGCTGGGCATCGGCCAGACCAGGGCCCTGTGGACCTGGGGATGTAGATGAGTTTTTGGATGGCAGACAAATTAGTCCCCGTGGTCACTGCTGTGGGCAGTGTGGCTTCATGGCAGGAAGGGGGCAGGCTCTGAAGACAGTGGCCCTGGACCTGTTCCATAAGTGCCCCCCTCCGCCCTTCACCCACTGACCTGCAGCCAATTCGCTATATGACCCTGAGCCCCTCTTTCCTTGCTTGGAAAGTGTGGATTGTGCTGTCTACCTTGCCCCATTGTTGTAAGGGCCAAAAATACCAGGAAGGGTTGTGTCTGGTCAGAGTGGGTGCTCCCTAAACTCCATCTCTGCAGGCCATGGATCCCTGCATCTCTCGTCGAGATCACCTCCCCAGCAGGAAATGGGAATTGAGGAGGGGCTGGTGGCAGGTGTGGGGGCTCCCAGGGCGCATGCCTGCACCTCCTTGGGTGCCTCTCCGCCGCCCCCCCCCCCAGGGGAGACTGGCAGAAGTGTGCCTCGGGCTTGCAGGAGCCGGTCTCCACAGACAGAGGAACTGCCGCATCTGCTCTGTCACCTGGGTCAGCTCTTCTGTCACAGGAAAGCTAGTACGGGCGTGGGGACGTGGTCGGGAATGACTCTGGGTTTTCTCCAGGCCAGATTTGTAAGGTCAAAACGAAAGCCTGATTCACTTCTTCTGGGGCAGAGTGAGAAAGTTGGCCATTATGGCCGGGCTTTGGCCGGCTCATATTCTGTGACCCTGAAGGTCCGGCTCTGCCTCTCAGGACATGGGGCATCATCTGGGGACAGAGGTGTTGTTTCCAAGTGGGTTCTGCTCTCTGGGTGGGTTTCACCGGGAGTCACAGGGTTTAGGGGAGCTTATCCACCTCCTCGTGGTGAGAAGGGGGCTTCTGCGGCTTAGGTGGCAATAGGAAGCTGCCTCTTCATTATTCGGCCCCGGGAGTCCTCCTGAGAGCAGGGCTGGGCCTGCTCTTAGGTCCCTTCACACTTCCCTGACGGAGCCACCACCCGGGAGCTGGACCCTTCTGTGGCGGCCCTGCTTTGAACACAGCTCACGGGGCCTGTGCCCAGAGTCTGTTGTTTTCCATGGTGGGTGACTGTGATCCTGGATTGGGGGCAGGTCCATGACCTGATGGACCAGAGACCCTGCCACACTGTGGACACAGGAGGGCCGAACCTGGGCTGCGCAGCAGCTCCAAGGAGGACTGGGTGGCTCCTTCTGTTTGACCCGAACACTCCCAGTGGTGTTGTCCTGGTGCCATCAAGATGCTCAGGTCACGGCAGCGTACTGTAAAGCATCATTTGACAAAACCCCAGTGCCAGGCATAAATGTAGCCCATTCCTTGGGATTTGTTATGATTGACAAACTCAGTGTAACAGGGGCGCCTGGCTGGCTCAGTCAGCAGAACATGTGACTCCCGATTTCAGGGTTGTGAGTTTGAGCCCCACTTTGGGCGTAGAGATTACTTTAAAAAAATTCAATGTAGCAAGTGTGAAGGAATCAAAGATGAGCAAGAGGTGGTTGCTAGTCTTCCAGTTCCTTAGAGTCTACAGAGACAGAATCCTTAAATAATGCCCGTAGAGGGCAGGCCGGGAGAGGGGCTGTGACAGAGGTATAGACTTGCGTCCATCGGAAGTTGTGTTCAGCGTTGAGGAGAAGCCCCAAACAGTAGAGGGGCTGCTGTTCTTTCGTGTGGAAGGAACCCGAAGGCAGGCCGGCCTCGGCGGGCGTGATTAACTGCACGGAGCTGTTAGCGATGTCCGTCCTCAGAATTGCCTCGTGGTCACAAGATGGCTGCTCAGCTGCAGCCCACCTGGTCCACATTTCGGGCCAGACCAGTTAGGAAGAGTGCAAAAGATGCCTTCCAGCTGACTCAGCCTCCCTTTTAAGGAACTTTTCCAAAAGCTCTTTCCACCAACTTCTACTTCTACCCCACTGGCCAGAACTTTGCCCTGCAGCCACTCCCACAAAGCCAGTTTCCCATTAGAAAGGGACAGGAGCTAGGATTTGCGTCAGTCAGTCAGAAGTCTCTGCCACAACATGCAAAGTGAGGATTGGGAAAGAGAGATTAATTACGGATGAGAAGGTCTGGGAGTATTTTCTTGAGGACCTGAGATGGTAGCCAGGCCTTGAGAAATGGGTAGATTATGGTAAGTAGCTCTGGGAGCGGGGAGGGCGTGGACTTCCCGACAGAGAAAACAGTCCCAGCAAAGACCCCGCAGCTCAGGAGAGCCAAGAGGGTGAGGAGTCAGCCAAGTGACTGAAACACCAAGGGTTGGGGCTGGGGGCGGAACCAGAGAGAAGAATGCTGAGCTGGGTCAAGGTCCGTTTTAAAGAGGGGTGTAAATGCCAGGCCAGGGACCTTGGACTTTCTTCTGGATGCATCAGGGCGGGTGTGGGGCCGTTCCTTCTGATCGTGGAAGTAAAAGCTTCCTCCTGAGGTGCGCATCTTGGGCCTCAGGCCTCATGTCCCAGCCCGGGCACTGTCGCCCACGCAGGGACCTCACTGGAAGCACCTGATACCAGATGGAAATCAGGCAGCAGCCCTCGGGCAGAGCTGAGAGGAGAACTGCACTCTCTGGGAAGCGCAGCGTGGAGGTTAGAGACACGTGCTGGAGCCAGGCTGCCAGGGTCCATATCCTACCTCTGCCACTTACCTGCTGTGGGACCTGGGGCAATGTGCATAACCTCTCTGTGCCTTGGTTTCCTAAGGTGTAAATGGGAATGATAAAGAGCTCCTGCCTCAGAGGACTCGTGGGGCGATTCCATTAGTGGGCACAAGTAAATCACCCAGAACAGTGCCCTGGCTTGCAGCATGGCCTCCTCCTGACCGCTGCCTGTCTGACCAGTGACCTGGCTTTCCCTTGTGTCCCCTCTGAGGAGCAGTATGAGGAGCGGTTTCTGCAGGAAGAAACCGTGTCCCAGCAGATCAACTCCATCGAGCTCCTGCAGACACGGCCCCTGGCTGCGCCCGAGGTGGTGAGGCCCCAGCGGCCCCTGCAGAGGCAGGTGCACTTGCGGGGCCGGCCAGCCTCCAAGCCCACTGTCATCCGGGGCATCACCTACTACAAAGCCAAGGACCCCGAGGAGGAGAATGACATCGAAGAGCAGCGTGAGTTGGGGTCAGCAGGCCACCGTGGAGGCAGGGTGGGGAGGGGGTCACCATTTGGACCCCTCTGCAGTCTAATGACTGCTGTGGCCCCGCAGAGCCAGCGGGGTCATGGGGGGAATCGCCCGCAGTGACAGGTGATCCAGAGTTCCTGCTGCATTTCCTTATGATTCGCTGAGCCACCTCAGGCTGGTCACTTGAGGTCTCTGGGCTTACGGAAGATCACAGAGCACAGCTGTAAGGGACTTTGGTGCCCTCCAGTCCTGTTTTGGGGACACTGAGGCTTGCGGGGGGGGGCTGATGTGCTCAGAGCCCCACCTGGTGTCCCTGCCTCCAGGGGACCTGGGCTTCCCCCCCGTCCCAGTTTGTGCTCTCCTAGCTGTTGGCATAATCAGTTTGCCCACTTTTAACCTTGTTTGTTGTCTTTTTAAATTATTGATTTGTGGGATTTTTTTTTTTTAATTCTGGAACTAGTCGTTTGTCAGTGGTACGTACTGCACACATTTCTGCCCTGCCCGTGGCTTGCAGATTCAGTTCCTTAATGGTGGTTTTGAGAAACAGATGAAACGCAATTTAGTCTGTATTTCATTTGTGGTTAGACCTCTTTGTGTCCTAAGAGAGTTTGCTTCCTCATATTCCTTCTCTGCTCAAAACCCTGGCCCCTCCCCCACTTCACTTAGAAGAACTGAAGTCCGAACCCGGCGCCCAAAGCTCACGTGGTCTGGCTCCTGTGCCCTCCCTGCCATCACTGGTTACTCTCCCCGCACACCCGCCCCCCGCCCCGCCTCGTCCACACTGGCTGCCCTGCTGCCCCTCGGCTTTCACAGGCACGTTCTGGCCTCAGGGCCTTTGCACTGCTGCTCTTCGCCCCGGAATTCTCTTCCCCGGATGGCTGCTTGGCCAGCTCCCTCCCCTCCTTCAGGTCTCTCTCATCTCCCTCCTCACCACCTGATCCATCACTGCAAGCCCTCCCCCTCCGCCTGCCAGCTCTCGGGACACGCCTCACCCTACTCGACTTTTCCCCCCGGCACCATCAAGCGTGCTGTCTACTTATCATTTAGTGTCTGCGCCCCTAGACAGAAGCTTCACGAGGGCAAGATGTTTGTTTTGCCCGCGGTTGTTGAGCGTGCGCCATAAACATGTGCTGGATGAACGGACGGGGTGGCTGGCTTCCCCCAGGCTCTGTGGCCGTGGGTGTGTGTCTTCCTGGTGTCCCCGAGCCTGGGTGGAGCTCAGAGGCAGTCTATTCAGAGACCCTCCAGGAGAGGCAGTGCCCTCCCATCTCTGCGACTTCTCACCTTCCTCTTCTGAAATCCCAGCCGGGCCCCATCTCTGAACCACCGAGTCATGTTGAGGAAAGGAACCCTCTTAGTATTTTTTTTCTAAAGATTTTATTTATTTGAGAGAGAGAGAGTGAGGGAGAGCACGAGTGGGAAGCAGAGGGAGAAGCAGGCTCCTCCACCGAGCGGGGAGCCTCACGTGGGACTGGATCCCAGGACCCTGAGATCATGGCCTGAGCCGGAGGCAGACGCTTCACCGCCTGAGCCCCCTAGGCACCCCAGGAACCCTCTTCTTAATCTGCCAAGTACCACGAGCTGTCCTTGAGTCACAGACAACCTTGTGTTTGTTTCCTAGAAGACGAGTTTTTCAGTGGTGACAATGGAGTGGATTTGCTGATTGAAGATCAGCTTCTGAGACACAACGACCTGCTGAGCAGTGCCACCCGGAGGCCAGTGGTCACCCATCAGGGCACCACTGGGATGAGTGACACGCAGACCTCAGCTCTGGCCGCGCCCTCCGATCCCAGCACGCCGGACCCCATCCTGTCTGCCTCAGTGGAACAGTTCTCAGCACCACTCCAGACCTCCTCGGTGTTTCCAGGTCCCATGACGGAGACGGAGGCAAGCCTGGAACCTTCCACTCAGGTACCAGCCACCACCGTGGCCCACACAGCCACCCAGCAACCTCCAGCCTCCGCTTCCCCGCCAGGCACCTCTGGGGACGCATTTACGGAGGCTCTGCACACGGGCTTGGTGCCTCCCACCACGGTCCGGACAGACTCGCTGGGGAGAGATGCTACCACGGGGCAGAGCACAGCCCCTGCCAGCCCCACCCTGAGCCCAGAAGAGGAGGATGACATCCGGAATGTCATAGGTGAGTTCCTTCTGCCTGGACTCCATGTCCTGCTCAGCTCTGGTAACAGGCTCCGCCTGGGTTTAGATCGAAAGCAGAGAGAGGAGTCAGATGGTCAGACTTCTCTGGAAGGAAAAGCAAGTGGAGTTATGCCTTTGGCCAGCGATCAGTGTTAATAACATCTAGGGGTGTTGTTTTGAGAGAGAGAGAGAGAGAGAGAAAGAGAGCATGTGCTCTCAGCCCCACACATATGTGTGAGGGGAGGGGGAGGGACAGAGGGGGAGAGAGAGAATCTCAAGCAGACTCCTTGCTGAGCACGAAGCCTGACACGATGTTCGATCTTATGACCCTGAGATCATGACCTGAGCCAAAATCAAGAGTCGGATGCTTGACTGACTGAGCCACCCAGGCGCCCCAACATCTAGGGTTTATGTATTTGAAGCGTGCCAGTGACACTAATGGGAAGCTCCTTTCTAAGTACATATAAGTCACTGGAGACAGGGCCCTACCTCACTGGTCAGTTTTGTAAACATTGGTTGAGTGCTTTCTGTGTCCTAGGCTTTGTGATGGGGATTGAGTATTTGGCAATGACTAAGTTTTCTGCAGTAGGTTTACCAGGCCATGAAATACCAAAGGACTCTTACTCGTGGGGTCAGGGTGAGAGGTGGTCCTGGAATAATAGAGAAGAGGGAGGAGAATTACTGGTACAGTGGGCCCCAGGGCCCGATCCTGCGAGTAGCCGCCTTGGAGGGCATGGGAGCCACCGTGGCTTCATGTGATAAATGCCAGAGCAGCAGAGGAGTGGAGCAAGAGAGGGAGCACCAGCGTGGCCTGGATGCTAAGAAGGCTGGGGAGGCCGTTCTAAGGAGGTGTCGTTTGAGCTGGGTTTTGAAGGATGAACAGGAGTTTTCTAAACAGAGAAGGGAAGCTTTCTGACTTAGGTCTAAAAGAGCAAAGCATGTTCCAGAAGCGTGAAGAGTGCAGCCCTGTTCTGTGCCCTGTTCTGGGAGCTCCAGAGCCACACGATGACTCTGAGAACTGTGGATGGAGCATGCACTGGGGAAGGACAGCTAGAGAAGGAAATGGGAGGTGGCTACAGGTGTCTCTCCCAAAGAGAATGCAACCAAACTTCCACTGAGGCACCGCCGAGACCAGTTGAAAAATAACACTGTTGACCAATAGTCCATCAAAGTGCTTGTTGAGAAAAGTACGTGCTTTGACAGAGGACATGGTTTGCCCTGTACCTTTTCCTTCTTCCCATTTCCCGCTCCCTTGGCCACCTTGTCCCCATTCCCTCCTCAGAACAAGATGCTGGCTACTGTCAGACAGGTGGTGGAAGGAGCTCCTGCCCTGAGCAGACACCTGAGTTACAGCCTGGGCTCAGCCGCTAACAGCTGTGTGACCTTGGCCGAATCCCTGCCCTTCTTTGGGTCTCCGATGAAATTAGATATTTGCTAAAAGACTGTTTCTTCCACGAAATCCTGCGGTTTCTTGCAGTAGGTTTATCAGGCCATGGTACAGCAAGGGATTCTTATTGGGGGAAAATCCCAGAATAATGACAGCGGGAGCAGGGAAGTAACCAGTAAAAATAGTCCCCAGGGCAAAATCTCATGAACCTCCGAAGAAGGCAGTGCGTGGGCCACAGAGGTTGGGTGGGAGCAGGAGAGGATGTTTTTTTTCATTTTCTTTCCCTTCCATGGTGGAAGCAAGCTGACCATGGCATAGAAAGCAGTTTCTCTGCAGGGACAGTGAATTCTGAAGCTGTAGGTCCTGCTCAATTTTCGCAGAATGCCCTGGGGCCTGAGCCTGAGGTTCCCACTTCCTCACTGGCTCTGGGCAGCCTCGACCGTGCTCCTGGGACCACAGGCCCTGAGCCCTGCACCGTACCCCCCACTCTGCCACCGCTTCACCCGTGAGGGGGACAGTTCCCCCAGAAACGTAGCCGCGCCCCTCCACGGGTGGCTCGGACATGGACACTGGAGACAGGTAGGCCTGCACACCTGTGTGCCCTCGGTGACTCGGTGATAGTGTCGATCAGCGTCGGAGCCTCCTCCCGGGGTGACTTCCTTGCCAGGAGTGGAGTTCTCGGCTGTGCCTGCCTCCCCTGGGGCCTGCCAGCAGCGTAACTGCCAACAGGCACCTTTCTGGGGCTCTCAGGAGCCCGCCTCCTCCAGGAGCCTGCCTGAGTTGCTGATCCCAGAGGGAGACACCTCATGTCTTGGCGGCCAGTCACCTGGTGGGAGCCAGAGGGGGGAGAACGTTTCCTCTTGCTGTTCAGTATTCTGTTTCACCAGAATGACAGCAGCGCGTGCAGGGTGTAAGATTCTGCTTCCAGACTGGCCTGTAGGGTTTTGCTTCTGGGGTCTTCCACCGAGAGAACACAGGGACGTGAATGTGGATGCAGGGTTTTCTTCAAACACACAGGGGTGAAAAGACAGGGTGGCTCAGAGAGGGGACCGGGCCGCGTGGACTCTTGACTGGCTTGTTTTGGGGAATCTTTTTTTTTTTTTTTAAGATTTATTGATTTATTTATTTTTCAGAGAGAGAGAGAGAGTTAGAGAGGGCATGTGCGCATGCGAGCACATGAGCAGAGGGGAGGGGCAAAGGGAGAGGCAGACTCCCCACTGAGCAGGGACCTTGATGGATGTGGGACTTGATCCCAGGACTCCAGGATCATGACCTAAGCCGAAGGGAGATGCCTAGCCACCTGAGCCACCCAGGTGCTCTGGGAATCTCTTGGTTTTTTTTTTAAGATTTATTTATTTGAGAGAGAACACACGTGAGCATGAGCAGGAGGGGCAGAGGGAGAGGGAGATAGGGTCTCAAGCAGATGCCCCCCTGCCCTGCTGAGCACAGAGCCCAGCTCAGGGCTTAATCTCACGACCCTGAGATCATGACCTGAACTGAAACCAAGAGTCGGATGCTCTACCAACTGCACCACCCAGGCGCCCTTGGGGAATCATTTTTAATTGCTTATCGCTGTCAGCTGCCTCCCTGGGGCTGCTGTGCGTGTGGGTGGGATTTCCTTTCTGGATCCTTCTCTGCAGACCCCTGATTATCTGTGCCTGGTGAGTGAGACCAGGTTGCGCTTGGTGTCCTAGTTGCAGGTAAATAAAAGCCATTTGGCTGAAACTGACACAGGCCATGCATTTGCTGCCCATGAAGGGTGTTTGCTGTTTAACGAGCCTGGCTATTTGAGATGTGGTCTTAAGTGGGGCTGTTTTTAAGAGGAACACCCTATTCCACACTTTCCAAATCTGACTTTGTGATGTCCTGAAATGCCTAACCATGATCCTCAGGAGAACTGTAAACCTTTCAGAAAAACTCCAAAAACAAGTAAATTAGAATTAACTTTTGGTTATGGAAACAAGCATTTGGCTGAAGGGTAGTCGCTGTAGGACCGGGAAAGGAAAAATGCCGTCAGTGATGGCAGCTGGCTCTCCCAAGGGAGGGCTCGGCCACCATCCCGGGGCCTGGGGAGGGGTCAGCCGCCATCCCGGGGCCTGGGGAGGGGTCAGCCGCCATCCCGGGGCCTGGGGAGGGCTGCTCAGTTCCCGCAGAGGAAGGAAAGGCTGTGCTACGTGGGCCAGGCTCCGCGGCTCCGCAGAGCCCCAGACTTCAAGGGCTGCAGCTCCTGATGCGAGTTTTTCCACGGGGCTGGTTTGGGGGTGGGGAGGGAGAGGGGAGGGGCAGGGAAGAGGACTGTCAGGATGATGACAGTACCAGTGAGAGCCTGTCTCCTGTTGAATCCTATAGGAAACCTGATCTGGGAAGACCAGGCTTCCGGACTAGCCTGAGACCTTAACAGTCCCTGAGGTTCGCTGGCCCTCCAGCTGTGGGTGGGGGAGGGGAGGGGAGGGGAGGTGGCCAGGCCTGCCTGCCACGTGTCAGGGGGCTGGCCTGGGCTGCCTGAGAAAGGTGGTGCTGGAGGGGCAGGAGGGCAGGAGCCCTGGGGGCCAGGCCTCAGCCAGCCCAGACACCAGACGCAGACAAGACCGGTCCCCGAGCCCCACTCCACGGGCACTCTGCTCCAGCTGCTCGGTCCCCAGCCCCCTCACCAGCCCCCTGCAGCCACAGGGAACTTCAGTCCTAACCAGGGGCTCTGGCCCTGGAAACAAGAACGGGAAGTGGAGACCTTGCTTATAGGTGGGTGAGGAATAAAGTCTTCCCCTGTGCCAGGAAAAGGTTCCTTGAGCACCACTGTGCCACCTTGAAAGGGAGTGAGAAGGCTCACTTCCCAGGGGACTACTTGTGGAGGGCGACAGGTGACGGGCGTGGCGCGAGGATGAGCCTGGCAGACGGGACATTCTTGGTCCAGCTGGGGCCGACGTGGGTTCTGACGGTGGGCCCCCATCTCCCGGCGTGCTCGCCAGCATGCGCACCCCCAGGGGAGAGGGCGCCGGCGCAGGCCGAGCACGGGGTGGGGGGCAGTGCAGGGAGCCCCGCGCGGGGGCACAGGCTGGGGGACAGGGTTCTGGGCTAGGGAGCCAGGGGCCTGATGACGAAGGGGAGCACGGCCTTAACTCTGAACGTGGTAGAGAGGGTTTGAGGCAGCAGCTGTCCTCAGTCAGGGCTGCCGGCGGGTCTCAGGCAGGTCGGTGCCCGTGCCCGAGCTGTTGGCGCCTCGAAGGCAGGCGGGGCAGCGACCTCGCTTGTGTTTCACAGCCCGATGGGCTGCATCGGGCACTTGGGGTCTGAGGGACTCTGTTCTGGAAAGAGGTGCTGACCTGGCTGTCTTGAAGGACGAGGAAGAGCTAGCCAGGCCGAGAACGGAAGTGGTGCCACAGTGAGGAGGAGCAGGGCTGTGGGAGCAGCAAGCTCGGGGCGGCTGGGGGCCTGTGGAGCCCCGGCCCCAGTGAGCACCTGGGGGCCGTGATGTTAAAGGTCATGAATAGAAAGCTTTTCCCGTTCTTCTGTGCGCTCTCTCTCTCTCTCTCTCGTCAGTCCATTTTTTTTCTTTGCTAGTGAAGAAATATTAAAAATTCAAAGTATTAGCGTGAGTTTTACCATTCATCTTTACACGGTGAATGTCAGTTTTAAATGCAAATATAAGGTCACTTGATTCCGATGTGGAAGTCACCAAAACGACACAATTCCTGTGTCACAGCTCCTTCATACATAAGTGTTTTGTTCTTAGCGGAACAGTGGAAATGCTGCACAAAGCCAACTCAGCCGTTTTGTTTTACTTCTTGATATGTGCACATGTTAGCAACACTCCCTCCCTCCAGCCCACTGAGTAGGGAAAGACTGAAAAGAAAGACTGTGAGTCACCCAGTCTTCCCGTCTTCTTTGTCATTTTTAGCCTAAGTTGTTGGCTAATACAAGCAAGTAACACAAGTAAGAAATAATACAGGGATATTTACTTGGTTTTTCGTGTTTCTTAAAGCACCACCGTCTTCTACGCTCAGAGCCGGCTCTGGCCCGATGGCAGGTGCGGCACTGGGGCTGCCAGGCCCCCCCTTACTCAGTTGTGGGGGCAACTCCCCCCGAGTCTGGCTGAACTCCCACGTGCAGTGAGTCTGCCCGGAGCTCTGTTCATCAGGCGTAGCAAATGCGTGCAAATGGGTGACAGGAAGGCAGACACACACAGGGTGCACAGTCCTGTGCACACGCGCGCACACGCTCACACGCTCCACTGTCTAGACTTCGCTTCTAAGAACACAAGGTCACAGGCAGAATGATGAAGAATGTCAGGATGGGGACAGCGGGGCGTCACACCCAGGGCTCCCCCTTCCGAACGAGCTACAGATGCCCGGGAAGACCGGTGGTGAGGGGCCGGCCAGGGAGGTTGGCCTGGCAGCCCCAGGGCTGCATTCATCCCAGGCTGGTTTGAGTCTGGAGTTCGCCTTCAGGGCAGCCGCCCTCCCGACCCTCCCTCCGCAGCCTCTGTGGCTGCCTGTTGTCCCGCACGCCCCGCTCCGCCCGGTTCAGTCCCTGCGTGGCCCCCGAGCCATCTGAGTTTGAGAACTCCGAATGGGGGGATGGCCAGAGCGTGAGTGGACGGGACCGGGACGCCCGGGCGCCCCGCAGTGGCTGGCGATGGCGAGGAAGGGTTTACGCAGAGCACAGCTCTGTCTGCGCGGCGGGATAGGCGGAGGGGTGCGGAGATGAGCCGGAGGGGCCAGCTGGAGTGACCCCAGAAAGAGGCGGTGAGGTCTGAACTGAGCCACAGAGGTGGAGGGGAAGGGCAGGGAGAGCGAGGAGACAGCGAGCTGTGGGTGTGGGGGCGGGAGGAGACAGCAGAGGGCCCCGGGCTTCTTTTCAGACCCTGGCACCCTGTGTAGAGAGCCCCTGGCTCCCGGGAATGCCAGTGATGAAAGGGGCTGATGCCTAGAAAGTGCTTCGTACTCGGTCACCGTCACTGAGAGTGGGGACCCTTCGAGGGTGAGTCACAGGTAGCGCTGTCTCCTCTGTGGCTTCTGTGAACTGCCCCCCACCCTCTCCCCCTCGAAGAGCGTTACCACGCGGTGCCTTCTCTCCAAGGCTGACGTCTGCTGCCAAGGGCAGGCGTGTCTGAACGTCCCCGATCATCAGACTGTGGTGATGGGTCCGGGCCTCGTGGTTAACTGACCTTGAACGTGTCTTCAAGGGCTCTGAAACCACACGTGTCTGCCCGCCATTCCTGCCTGCGTGCAGGCCTGCGTCCCTCTGTCTGAGGGCCTGTAGAGATGTGCCCCGGGGTCTTGGGTGCCCGCCAGTGGGGACTGCCCCCCGCCCCCCAACCCGAGAAACAAGGACACCTGACTCCAGGGCTGACTCCATCTGTCCCAGCGTCCTAGGCCTCCTGTAACAAATTACCACAAACTTTGTGGCTTAAGTAACAAACGGATTCTCTGATGGGTCTAGAGGTGAGACGTCTGAAATGAGTCTTAGAGGGGCTAAAATCAAGGTGTCAGAGGGCCAGTTCCTCCCGAGGCTCCAAGGGAGAATCCGCATTCTGCCTTTCCTGGCTTTGGGCGGCTGCTGGTATTCCTTGGCTTGCGGCCACATCCCTCCTGCTTCCTCTTGTCACATCTCCCTCTGCCTCCCTGGTAGAAGGATACTTGCTAGTGCATGGAGGACTCACCGGATAATCCAGGATATCCCCCCATTTCCAGATCTCGGACTCAAATCACATCAGCACCGTCCCTTTTGCCATCTTAGGTCACACTCACAGGTCCCAGGGGTTAGGACATGGGTATCTTTGGGGCCATGACTCAGCCTGCCGTGCCGTCCTCAGAGTGGATTCTCCAAGCCTTTTCGTGAAGTAGGTGGGGCATATAGCATGCCCGTTTTCCCGCAGAAGAAACTAAAGCTCTGACATTTTGGAGGCAGTACAGACTTCGGAGTTGGTAGCAGGGCCAAGACCAAGGCGAGGCCTCTGACTCCAAACCTGGGACAAATTCTGTAGCCCCCCCTCCCCCAGGACCCTGCTGCTGCAGAGCCTCAGGGCTGAGACAGAACCGTGTAGGGATTTCGGGGCTGCCCAGGGCATCCCAGTACTTCAAAACTCAGATGAGTCCTGGCTTCTGGGAGCTCATCGGCAGTTTCTGAGTCTGGTCCGGGAGGTGGCGTAGCCATGACAGCCCCCTGACAGAAACCCCTCACCCCCCATCTGTGGGGCTCTGGGGCGTGGGTGAGGGTCTGCCCTGCCTCTGAGACAGGGAGTCCATGTTCTCGCTGGGCCTTGCCAGGAGAAGGCAGCACATAGAAATGCTCCTCCCTGGGGACGGCCCACTAGGGCTTACCTCAGTGCAGAGGAAGCACGAAGCCCTGCTCAGCGCCAGGGAATGAGCGATTTTCCACCAGACCACTGCTGCCTGGGCTCAGCTAGAGCCTTCTCTTTTATTGTCTTGAACAGATGAGCTCAGTTGTGGGGGAATGAGGATTTGGCGGCTTGGTTCTGTTGTTTGTCTTGCGGAGACTGAATCCCTCCCTCCCCACTCCGTCAGATCAGGACCTAATGAACCCCACACAGAGCTGCCTGAACCCTGCCAATTGCATCCCGCTGTGGGGCCTGCCTGGGAAATAGTGTGCACCCCACCTCCAGCCGCCTGCTGCCCCAGGCACAAAGCCAAGGGCACGGTGCCTGCCCTGTCCTGCCAGCTTGAGCTTCTTCCTCAGACCACGAATGGGGAAGCAGAGTGGAGGGAACGGACTGGAACAGTTCAGAAATGAGGGTGGCCTGGAATTGAGAGAGCCCTCAATCCAAACTGGAGGCCTGTGTGTTTTGTTCAGGTGAACACTTGTCACTGTCACCCTTCCGTCTGCCAGTTTGATGGCAGGTGGAGGGGTGATCTGCTGGTGAGAGCACACTGCTGGGGGCAGGGTGAGGGCGGGGGCACCTTCCCATCTCCTCCGTAACCCACCAGCACGGGGATAGAAAGAACGCATGTCCTCAGCGGTCACACACAATTTCAGTATCTCTGAGGGCCGTGCTCAATAAAAACACTACATATTAAGCATTCTAGGCTTTCTACTTGGTCTAGAACTCGGCAGAGTGCTGGTGGCCTTTGAGGGCTCCTCCTGGGCACTAGGTCACCCCAAAGAGCCCCTGAGGAGTATAGCTCCTGGGCACTCGGTCACCCCCTGCTCCTGAGGCAGACTTGGCTTAGAAGGGGCTCCTGCAAGCCAGAACAAGCTGCTTACGTGGAGCTTGTTCCCCTTTCCTCCAGGTCCCCAGAAGGGGACCCTGGCATCTTGCCTACAGTAGCATAGGGGCAGAGGCTGAGGACAGCTCTCTAGGACCCAGCAGGTGGGCCTCAGGGGCACGAACATCCAGTGTTCAGTCTACACTGGTGTGGCCCCAAATACCCTGGGCCAAACCCCTTGGGGCAGCTCAGCCGCTGGTGAGCTCCGTGTCCCTGGGTCACGTGTGGCAGAAAGTCCTCAGCTCTGCTCATGCGTCCCCTGCTGCTGTGTATTTGTCCAGATGCTGTATCTTGAGGACTGAGAACGAGGAGGAAAGCCCCAGCCCCGCTCCCTCTGTGCTTGGGTAGGGGCGGTCATGGAGGGCAGAGGGGGAGGCACGGGCATCCTTGAGAGGAAAGGGGACATCCTGTGAGAGGCTCATTCACAGCACTGTGGGGACAGATGGAATCCAGTCGAGGCAGGATGGTCTTTCAGAGGAGGATGTGGTGTCAGAAGAGAACACGAGATTAAATCCTTGAGGGGGATGAGTTTGTAGGATTGAGAAATCAGAGGACGGTGGCAGCAGGTGGCTTTGTAGGAGTGGAATGTAGGACTGATGGGGGGGGGATGTGAGCGGATGATGCTGAGGTGTCCAGGCTCAGGTCGGAAGCCCCCCAGAGGCCACAGACCGGAGGAGGGGGCACAGATTTCAGGGGCTTCAGGTCTTCCTTCATCCCAACCCCGCCAACCCCTCTCCTCCGTCAGGAAGGTGCAAAGACACCCTGTCCACCATCACGGGGCCGACCACCCAGAACACCTATGGGCGGAACGAGGGGGCCTGGATGAAGGACCCCCTGGCCAAGGATGAGCGGATCTATGTCACCAACTATTACTACGGCAACACCCTGGTAGAGTTCCGGAACCTGGAGAACTTCAAACAAGGTACGCGCCGTGGGCCCGCTCGGGGGGTGGGGGGGTGGGGGGTATTCCTCCCGTCCCCGCGCCCCCTGTTCCCATCACGGCCAGATCACTCTGGGAGGTGCCCGCGGACCAGAATGGGGACTCGGTCTTCCGGTGGTGAAAGGACCTTCCTCGTCGCGGAGGTCCCTCTTCCGCATGCCCCACATTCTGTGCGCTCCGCTCCTGGGGTCCGCGTTGGGGGTGGGGGAGGGGTAGCAGTGAGCTAACCCCCTTCCTAGAGCCGGGCCCCTGGGGGGGGAGGAGCGCCTGGGAATGGGAACTGTTCCTCGGGGTGAGGGTTGAGCGTGCGGAGGCTCACCAGCGTGAAGCCATTTGCTGCACAAAACTAGAAAGTGGCGGAGCTGAGACGCAGCCCCAGGTCTGCGGACTCGGGGCCGCCGGCTGATCCGGCCCCCCCCGCCCCCCGACCCCGCGGCTGCCCCGCCCCCCCGACCCCGCGGCTGCCCCGCCCCCCGTCCTGAAGCCCCGCCCTCGCGCGCAGGTCGCTGGAGCAACTCCTACAAGCTCCCGTACAGCTGGATTGGCACGGGCCACGTGGTGTACAACGGCGCCTTCTACTATAACCGCGCCTTCACCCGCAACATCATCAAGTACGACCTGAAGCAGCGCTTCGTGGCCGCCTGGGCCATGCTCCACGACGTGGCCTACGAGGAGGCCACGCCCTGGCGGTGGCAGGGCCACTCGGACGTGGACTTCGCTGTGGACGAGAACGGCCTGTGGCTCATCTACCCGGCCCTGGACGACGAGGGCTTCAGCCAGGAGGTGATCGTGCTGAGCAAGCTCAATGCCGTGGACCTGAGCACGCAGAAGGAGACCACGTGGCGCACGGGGCTGCGGCGCAACTTCTACGGCAACTGCTTCGTCATCTGCGGGGTGCTGTACGCCGTGGACAGCTACAACCAGCGCAACGCCAACATCTCCTACGCCTTCGACACCCACACCAACACGCAGATCGTCCCCCGGCTACTGTTCGAGAACGAGTACTCCTACACCACCCAGATAGACTACAACCCCAAGGACCGCTTGCTCTACGCCTGGGACAATGGTCACCAGGTCACCTACCACGTCATCTTCGCCTACTGACACCCTGGCCCCACGTGCGGAAGTGCAGAGGGGCTCCTGGCACCTTGTGTGCGTGCGTGCGTGTGTGGATGCGTATGTGTTGTTTAAAAAATATATATTATTTTGTATAATATTGCAACTGTAAAATGACAGTTTGGGTCTATTTTTTTTAAGTGGATTGTAGATCAATCCATACACGTATGTGCTGGTCTCATCCTCTACAGTTTATATTTTTGTGCAAATGGACTTCTCCTTTTGACCAGGAACCACCTTCCTTCAAACCCTCAACCCCTCCAGCTCCCAGATCTTAGCTGTTGAAAAGGGTTCTCCATCTGGGTCTTGGAGGCACCAGGAGCGGGAGTGAAGGAGGCAAGAAAGAAGTGTTAAGGGGCGGGAAAATTTTTATGTATTGGAGAAGTTTTAAAAACCCAGAAAAATGCTTTTTTTTTTTAATAAAGAAAAAACGTAAAACCAGCCCAGCCTGGAATGTGTTTTTGTTCAGCACGGTTGTGCCGGGCACGGCCGATCCTGTCCCCCGAGGAGCCTCAGTCGGCGCGGAGCCCCCTCCCCTGCTGAGGGGGCTGTCTGGGGGGCCCTGCACACACCCCCCCCCGACTCTGCGTGTGCTTCCATTTCCAGGCACGAAGCACTCCTCTTCCCCCCGCACACCAGCTTCCTTGCTCTGTTCTGCTTTTTTTTGGTCATTTTGCCTAAGAGGTGGGAAGCTGTTCATTCCTTAGTCCTTACATGGGGTGTGGTGGACACTATTAAAAGCAGGAGGCTTGGGGCACCGGGGTGGCTCAGTCGGTTAGACATCTGCCTTCAGCTCAGGTCATGATTCCCGGGTCCTTGGAGGCTCCGTGCTCAGCGGGGAGTCTGCTTCTCCCTCTGCCCCTCTTCCCTACTCGTGCTCTCATTCTCTGGTGCTCTCTCTCTCAAATAAATAAAATCTTTAAAAACAAAGCAGAAAAGGAGGCTGAGTGAGGGTGACCCAGTCTCTGCATTGCTGAAGCAGCTCGCGGTCAGTCAGTCCGTCTTTCCCTCCTCATCCTCGTCATGAACTTCCCTGCCCACCTTCCCCTCCAGGAGAGGGGCCAGGGAGGTGTGTGCAGCGTGGGGGGAGGCCTGCGCCCCTCCCCAAGCCCGGCTGAGCCCACGGGCCTGCCCTTTCCTGACCACAGAACACAGAACAGGACACAGAAAATCGGGAAAAGCTCAACAAGGGACACCTGAGTTGCTGGGAGGAGGGCCGGCCCCCAGGATGAAGTGGGAAGGCCGGCGCATCATGTCACCGCGCTGTCCCCCCACCGTCCCCCCCCCCCGCACTGTTTAAGGAGCAGCTGCCGGGCGAGTCCTTCTGCACAGAGCTCAGGAGCCGCCTCCACACACGCACACACCACGCGTCCATCCCTGTGCTGAGAGCTTCCAGCCCCACCCAGCTCTCCGTGTCCTCCACTTACACCGTCTCAGATCACAAATATTCAAAGGACTTCACTCCGCCCTGGGGCTGTTTGGGTCAAATTTTCCCCAGTAAGTGCAAGTGCCCATCAGGTTTTGGGGCAGCCGGAGGGTTGGTGGGAGAGAGGGGGTTGTGTCCAGTGTTCAGAAAGATGGCGGACGATGCCCGTGTCCAGAGGCCGCACTCGGCCGGAGGAGGGAACGACTGTTCTTGTCAGGCCCTGGGTGGGAAACCAGAGCCGAGACTCAAGCCCCCCCAGGTAGGGCTGCCCTGAGGGACCGGGGTGAGCCCCCGGGGGAGTCGCTGGTGGGAAATTAGGTCTTCCGGAGATGTTCACGGATCTCCCTCTGTCTGTGGAAAGTGATACGTTTACAGTTGCCAGCCTCCCGGACCAGGACTTGTCCCACCACCTGGCGACCTCGCTGCTGGGGGGCCCGGAGGCCAGGGCCAGCTGTCTGCCCCCTACCGCCTGTGCCAGGGCCTCCCAAACTGCTCACTCCTCGGGTCTCTGCCTGCCCTGCAGCGTCCAGAAAGGCTTCAGACTTCAGGCTTCCGGGACAGGGCGGCCCTCGGGGATGGGCCCGGAGCACGCAGTCAGGGCCCAGCTGTGATGCAAGATGACTAGCTCTGAGAGGCCCCGCTTGCAAGGATCCCAGGACACAGGCCGTCTTCCCTGGAAAGCCGGGAGCCGGCCTGAGAAGCCTCAAGACAGGGGCCAGGCGGTCCTTCCGCCGAAGCCGAGGGAGCAGCCGCCCCGACGGGCCGTGTCAGGAGCTGCGGGCCCCGGACGCAGGCGAAGCCGAGGGAGCAGCCGCCCCGACGGGCCGTGTCAGGAGCTGCGGGCCCCGGACGCAGGCGCTCAGCTGTAGGAAGGGCAGCTCCTCACCCCCTCGCTGACTCAGGGATCAGGCTCCCACCTGGAAACTCACCTGGCCACGCACCTGGGTGTCCGTTCTCCCGCCGTTGGTTTTCAGAGCCCTCTCCTGGCCCCTCTGTAGGGCGCCCTCACCTGCCCTCCGTCCAGTGAGGGGCCGCCAGCTGCAGCTGGTGTGTGAGGGAACTGCCCCCTCGGGCCACGGCCACCTGAGGAGCGGCTCCCCACGTGGCTCCCAAGGGCCGGAAGGAGGAAGAGGAGAGTGACCGGAGGCCTGAAGCCGGGTGGCAAGCCGAGGCGTCGCTGAGCACAGACAGGCCGCCTCCGGGCCGCTTCCCCATCAGGGGATTCAGCTGTGGAAACATGGAAGAATCCGAGAAGGAGCTTCTCAGATGGTTGCAGAGGCAGAGCAGCTGCCAGGTAAGTTCGGGCCTTCCTGGGGCTTCCCCTTACCTGTAAACAGCGGGGATCTTCCCACTTTCAGGCTTGTCTGACGTACAGTTGGCCCTTGAACAACGCGGGGCTCAGGCGCGCCACCCCCTGTGCAGTTGAGAATCCACGTATCACTTTTTTTTGTTGTTCATTTGAAAGACCGAGAAAGCAAGCGAGAGAGCACAAGCGGGGCTGGGGGGGTGGGGGGGGTGTGTGTGGCAGAGTGAGAGGGAGAACCTGACTTCCCGCGGAGCAGGGAGCCCGACTCCATGTGGGGCTCAGTCGCAGGGCCCTGAGATCACGACCTGAACCAAAGGCAGACGCCTAACGGCCCGAGCCACCGAGGCGCCTGAGAATCCACGTATAACTTTTGACTCCCCCCAAAACTTAGCTATTAATAGCCTTCCATTGACCGGAAACCTTACTGATCACATAAACACTTCACACATATTTGGTATGTTATATGTGTTATATACTATTTTCTTATGAAGTATGCTAGAGAAAAGTAAGAAAATAGTAAGGAAAATACATTAACTGCACTGTATCTATCCGAAAAACAGTACACGCCAAGTGGACCTGCTCAGTTCAAACCCGCATTGTTCAAGGGTCAGGTGTACTTTTTTCCCTACTATAGTATTTCCCAGCAGCATAATTTTCAGAAGTAGAGAAAAAACGACTACCATTCTTCTTTTTACATTAATTTATTCATGTATATATTTATTCATTGAACAAATATTCGTGGAGTCTCCCCTGGGGATACTGAGTGACCAGGGATAAGTCCTGACCTCATGGGGCTTAGATTCTAGAGCAGGAGAGGGAAAGAAATGCATTTATGTATAATGTGATGGGTGGCAATAATATCAAGCACGGAAAGGGTATAGAGAAAAATGGGAGAAAGAGAGGGAGTGGCTTTTTGTGTAGGCAGCTCGGAGAAAGTCTATGTGATGAGGGCACATTTGGGCCGAAGTAGAAGACAGCGAGGGGCTCAGCCTGCAGACCTCCAGAGGCTGACCGCAGGGGACAGGAACTGAGGTGGCCCTGCCTGCCTGAGCCAGCCCAGGCCCCCCGGGCACTCAGGGAGGCTGGCAGAAGCACCTGTAATCCACCCAGCACTGTGGGCGGGGCGCTCTACGCTGCCACCACCTCTTACACCAACGAGCACCTTAGCACAACTGGGTGATGCGTGTGCGCCCTCTTCCCACCCACTACCACCCAGGGAGGCCAGGTGTCTGCTGGAGGAAACTATCTCCAGGGCCTGGAACGAGTCCTGGCTTCCCCACTTGGCATTCGTGGGACCTTGGATCAGCCTCTCTGCACCTGGCTGTCATCTGTAAAAAGGAGCACGCTCTGGGGCACCTGGGTGGCTCAGTAGGTTAAGCGTCCGACTCTTGGTTTCAGCTCAGGTCGTGATTTCAGGGTCGTGAGATCGAGCCCCGCAGCGGGCTCTGTGCGGTGTGGAGTCTGCTTGAGATTCTCTCTCTCTCCCTCTGCCCCTCCCCACCGTGCTCTGTCTCTCTCTCTGAAAAATAAAATAAATCTTAAAAAAGGAGCACACTCTGCCTACAAGAGGAGTAGATTCACGGGAGATTCAAGTAAGGCAATGCAAGGAAACGTGAGCAATACCGGCTGTTATTGCCATCCAAAGCCGAAGTCCTTATCTTGACTCCTCTGGCCAGCTCCTCTTTTGGACTTCCCTTGATGGTCGCCTGGTCCCCTGGGATATAGCTGGAGCACCCCTTTCTTTTTTACTCCCCGCTGAGATACTATCCTTCTGCACAAGGCATAATGGGAGGCGGTGGGTGCTCGTGCACACACCCCAGGTCTGCCCTGTTTTGGCTGTGCGATCTTGCACAAAACACTGAACTCCGAGCCCTCAGTAATGGATCTGTCTTATACGGATGTTTAGGGGCTTAATGAAATAACATCTAAAGCGTAAGTTAAATCATAGGCACTCAGTTTTTATTGTGCAAACTTGTAGTCATAAGAAATTAGGAAATTATACTAAACCCCTATCACCAAGATATAATAATCCTCAATATTGAATTATATTTGTTTCATTGCCTTTTCAAGAAATTTGCTGAGATATTTTAGATTAAGGACGTCTTGACATTTAACCCAGTTAAGTAAGCATCTCTTAAGAGAAGGACCTATTTCTACATAACTTCAACCTAACAGGATTAACGATTCCTTAAAATCAGTGACACCCACTCTCAAGTTCCCCAGTTGTCTCAAAGGTGTCTTGTCCATTTGGGTCTTTAAGCCATAAGCTTTCATTTTGGAATACTTTTAGATTTACAGAAAAGTTGCAAATTTAGTACAGAGAATTCCTGCACACTTTTACCCACTAACATTAACATCTTATATAATCACGTAT